TTATATACAACAGCATCCAAGTAATAATGTTCAACCAAAGTACAATAAATAAATAACAATTTCATGTAATATTACAGTACTACATGTTGGCTCTCAAATACAAAATTCGAGATATTTGAATTTTAACATACAAACTGAAAGACAGAAAAAAATATGTGTCTGCAAAGTGAAAGTTTAAGCTACAAAGGCCAAATAACATAGTTACGTTTAGTCATACCGTCTGCCACGGATCATGGATGGTAGTATTTGCATCATAAATCAGCATGAAAACAGGTCTGAAGGTTTTGCTAATAAAATTTAGAGACAAACATTAAGCAGAAATGATGGCTACGACAATTTTACAACTAAAAGCTATATAGAATCACTGACGATATCCTTCTGGAAGAGGAACAACTCTGTGGAAGGATACTAACCTCTGAGGCAAAGATCCATCCTCTTCATCATCATCAAATTCTAACACAACTGTTCAACAAAAATCATTTTCTTTATATGTATATATGTTAGTGAAAACATAAAAAGACGACTGGATTTTATAACATTTAAAAGATAATAATAATAATTTCTTGTCATCTTTTATCTAATAACTTAAGGCGGCAAAATAAAGAAACAATGATTAGAAGTATAGATACTTACTCATCAGTCTTCCTCTGGTAGATGTAAATTATGAAGGTCGGTCATCATCAAGTAGCATGCACAGCAACAATAATTAGTTTTTTTGAAGATAGATTAAAGCATTTCTACAAAAATATTGAATGCTACAGAATATTCAACAGTAAAAACAAAATGTTCCAGTAACTTGCTTTTAGGAAAACAATGAACATCAGAAAAAGAGTATTTAATTGCCAAATCAAGGGAGGAAAAACACTTGAACAAATTAAAATTGACAGCTAGAATTGTCAGTGTTTAAGGATGGTGCTAGAATTGAGAAAAGGTGAAAAAAAATTAGCATTCGTTTGTAATTTAGCTCTTTCATCATTAGCACAAACTTCTTAGCCACATTTTCCATTACACTTTCATTCCATAAGCACAATCACCAAAATAAACAATTAATACCTTTCTAGCTTGGACAACCGTGGCTTTGTACAGTGCAGTCGTTTCTGGATAGACCGCCAAGACATGTTTTCCGGGTGGAAAATCTTGGACACTAGACAGATCTGTCCGCTTTGCAAAAGGTATAATATGTGACATAGGCAGCTTGTATTTTCTGAAGTGTCAAAACTCATCAAGTGATTAAATCGTATACAGATAAATCATATAATAGAGTAAATATGAAACTAAACTTGAAATGATTATCATATTCATCGTGTTAAGACGAGTCCTCGAATAGAATGCGGAAGGCCCAAACCTTGACCATTTGTTATTATAATAAAACTCAAAGAGGCTGCAAGAAGAATTTACAAATGACCCTATGGTGCATGAGAATAGAGAGCCACTCTCAAGATTCAAAGCCAAGGAGGCCAATAAATAGATGAAGGAAATAAATTACAAAACTAACTTACCCAGCCTAATCAGTAATCACAAAACAATTCATGTCAAAATTTCATCATACACATTTCATGTTCATTGTAATGTGGTTCACCTGTTGAAGCGGATATTCATTAAGCAAATACATCTGTTAAAGGGACATTTGCAACACGATTCTTGCATTTTCATTTTTCCTTATCTTGTTTCTTCTTTTCTTTCTTAAGTTCAACCATAACGTGATGGCATATACTTGTAGTCAAACCATTGATAAATAAATACAGAAGTAAAGAGAAGAAAAATAGCTGACCTCTGGCCCCACCCTCCTCGTCGTCCCCTGGTTCCTCATCGAGGACTTCAAACCTACACGATTATCATGATTTGAATTTAATTTTGCATTTATTTTCCTTAAAATATCATAATATCTAACATGCACCACAAACACATAACACTTACTCTCGTGCCTCCTTGTCAAAATTGATTACTTTAACCACAAACCACTTGTCCCTTCCAGCGTCCTCTTGACTGACTCTTGCTGCCACCTAGATTATATAGAACTTAATCTTCCCATTATCCCATCTCAATAAGAGGCTATTAAGAAATTTACATCAACAAAAGGAGTTTTGATTGGAGTATGAATGAGTGGCATATAGAGTATTGGCTAGATACGTACTTGTTCTCCCTTCATATTTACAGGAGACTCGAGATGACTTCGCGTGGAAGGAGACAATCTCAGGACATCGGCATCGCCTTTTATCCTTTTCTTTTTCTGTTCACCACTTTCTGCAGTTCAATGAGATTCCGATGTTAGTATCTATAATTAGAGAGGTAAGTTATGTGAACAAAAAGTTTCAAACATTAAGTGCAAAATCGCAGTTATCTCTAACCAATATCCCATCCCATATTACAATATGGGGAACTTTGGGGATTGGCCGACCGACTTATTTAATTTTATTTCTTTTTTACTTTTAAGAAAACTTTCCAAATTTACAAAGGTCAGATATTACAACCACCACGTAGGTTAGTAATTTCCAAATACAGTCCTATTTGGTTTGTAATTTGTACAACAGAAATAAATATCTAGGAAGAGTGTACAGTATGAAAATATAGCTTCTCCTTCTTGTCTTATTTTCTTCAAAGTTTATTTCGCAGGATATCGTCAGCATGTAGGAGATAGTGATTTTGTTGAAAATAATCATCCTAAGGAAAGTAATAAACCAAATATCTCTACATGATGACTGCTTTCTTGCTTTGGCAGTCATGAAGATTTCTCCAAGCCAGAACAAGTACAATTAATCATTTTACTTTCTAACATAATTGCAAACCTATCTTTCTTCGATGTTGCTCAGGAGTACCCGTAAGCAATAAAGCATCCAATTGTCCTAATAATTGTGTTGCAACGCAGCAATAAAGAAACATAGTAGCTGGTGAAATATAAATCCAAATGCAGCATTCAGAATTCTTATAACATGAGGCTATAGCTAAGATATGTTTAAGCTTGAGACTCAGGCTTATGCAGTATCTCCAAAATTAAGCCATTAAATATGGTTGGAAAGAGAACCAAAAATCAAAGTTTAGACTATTGTTAACATCATGAAAGGGCACAATTCACATGTACCTGGCTTCAGTCTCCGAGAGCTCTTTTGCTTGAGTGTATAACATCTGAAGTCTTGATAGAGAGTTATCACCAGGTTTTTCAACCACCTCTGGAGCTGTATCCAGAAAAAAAAAAAAAGCATAATTAATTAATGAAAACAAAAGGTGCATTTTTTGAAAAAAAAAAAAAAAAAAAAAAAAAAAGAAGAAGAAGATAGAAAAGAATAGCATAATAATGAAAACAAAAGGTGCATTTTTTGCCTAGTCCAACAGTAAGGAATTAAGAGACTCTCACCATAGATAGATACTCATTCAACTAGCCTCAATAAGTGCATAGTCATGTAATAAAAGTATATTTCATGAAGTCACAATAGTAATAAGGTTAAGTCTATGCATTTGTTAACGGAACTTAAACAAAATTTAACAAATGCATATCTCCTGCATTACCAACCAAAAGTTTCATACTAACTTTATCCAGAAACTATTTTACTCTTGATCCTTGAAATGAACGCCACATAAACTCGTGTGAAATCAAAATCGAGAACTTCAACTCAAGCTTGACTGAGTTAAAAGAATATCCAAGTAAATAAGAAGGCAGTAAACAGCTACAGCTTCACTTGCTCAGTTAGATAATCAATTCACACTGGAACGCGCCTTGCAACTCAATTAATGAAGCACATATGATTATCATTTGTTAATTGAGCAATCCCCAGGGCACCAAAATCCCAAACATGACAAGGACACAAATTAGCCACAAGTATTCCTCCTTCCTAGTGATTGATTGATAGAAAGAAAGAGGAGAAGATAAGAGAGTTGTCAATTCGGATAAGGATAAAATAATGATGCACCAAATGTGATTAGGGTTGTTGATCTCGAGCAGCACCTCATCCAGCTCTTTCCTCAACCGATCGACTTCTTTCGAGTTGTCTAATATTCCGGCAACAATATCCGCTGACGACATCCAGCTCTTCCGATGATTTATTAGAAGAGTGAAACCGATTCTGTAATCTCCATCACAAATGTGTTTAATTTATTGACGAAGAGAAATTATTTTCATTTCAAATTCAAAACTTTTATTTGTACCCCTTTTTTTTTAGTACAGTTTCTTAGTTAATTTTTTTTTAATTGGCAACTGCAAACGACTATCAAATAATCGTTATCCTTTTATGCCTCACTAGTACAGTCCCGTGTGATAGCACGGGAGTTTATTATCTCCGTCCCTTTTATAAAGCAATGTTCAGTTAAAATTCAAAGTACTTATTAAAGAAAAGATTATGCCATTAATAATAAATAAATTAATAAATACAACGATAATAAAATCTATATATTATTGAACACTTCTTTATATACAACGTTCATGGTTTGATTCTTTGGCATGTCATCGTCGCCGCAAATTAGGACTTTCAAACCCATTTTTATTTGTGACACGGGAGACAACAACATACAATTGACCATGACTAAACTGGTTTCTTAAGAAAGAAGCCCACATGCGATAATGATTGTTCTTGACTCTTGTTTATAGTAATTTTGTAAGAAAACATAATAGGAAACAATTAATCCAATAACATCTACAAAACTATAAGAAAATGCATCATATTGAAATGTATAACATATAAAATAGTTTATTACAGATTTTAAATTAAAAAAATCGAAATAAGAAATAAACAAAAAAATTATAACGTACCAAACAACATGACTTCATCAATGTTACGAACATCCATTAAAGTTAGAAATAGAGAAATCACCCCTCCATTTGATAAATCACCTCTCCATTTGATAAATCACCCCTCCATTTGATAATCTTGGTTTGACCATTGATAATGATCCTCCTTTTACCTATCGTCGATTTATGGATGCCAGTATTGCTATTCACTTGATAGTTTGTCAAGATATAAGCGCCACCTTCTTCGATATCACCGATGATTTTTTGGATATTGACAGGTCGAATTATGCCAGTAATTCATCCTCCCTAAAACATTGCATAATGAATACTTCAATAAATAAATTATAAAAGATGTTGCATAAAATGATGCATTTAAATAATACTAAATGAATATATTACCTCAAAATCACAAAAGATAATCTCAAGAACATTTCGGTAGTTGCGTACATCTTCAACTCGTTGGAACATCCTAATTATGCGTAGCTTGATTGGTGGCTTATTGGATCTTTTGATATCCTTGATTACTCCAAAATCCGAAGCCATTTTCAATGGTGATGTAAAAGCTTGTAGAAAAAATTGTTTTGTGGGATATATTGGATGTCGAATACTTTTTGTTCAACGTTGGTGATGTTTATATAGTCATGTGTATGTGCCATATGTCTAGGAAATAAAAAAATATTTACGTACGGTATTTAATATGATCCGATTCGATTATTATAATTATGATTGACTTCTAAAAATATGTATTATCAGTTTTGTTAAAAAAATTAAAAAAAAATGTGGAACGTGATTCACTTGTGAGGGACGAACCAATATTTAGAAGATTATGTAGCCAAAAATAATGGAGTTTGTTACAATGAAATTTGGTAAGACTTTTTGGATAGATTGAAAAATTATATTTTTATTTTGATCAAATCATATTTGATTTTTATGCCTCAATATTCCAAATCAAACCTTACAAATATGGTATGATTATTTACTACTAATACTTTATTTTTTCAAACGTCTGATTCTCTTAGGTTTATATGAAACAAAGTTCAATCAAATCAAAATTGATTTTTATGCCCACACTAAAACTTTATCAATATGATATGTTTATTTTATTTATTTATTTTTTTCAAATCCACGACTCAAATTTTCGAGAGAGAGAAAAAAAAGGAAACAAAATCTTATCAAACCTTATCAAATTTACGAGAGAGGAAAAAAAAATAAATAAATAAATTGGAAACAAAATCTTATCAAACCTTATCAATAATGAAGTTTCGTGTTTCCACGAAAAGCTAACAAAATCTCGTGGTTACCAAAATCCTATCAAATTAGTTAAGAAAATCTCATTAAATTGGTTAACAATATTGGAACGCATTTTATTAGGAAAGATTTACGTTATTTATCTATCTAATTAATTTCATATTAACGTGTGGGCCCAGTGATATTAATTTAGTGTAGCATCCATTATCTCAGAATAATTATTTGTTTGATTTACAACATTAATTTGAATGGAAAAAAATCCGTAATTGTTGAGATATCTCAATTCAAAATCTCGATTTTTTGGCATAAGAATTTTCAAATTTGTTACCAATAAAAATAGATTCCTATGGGATTAATATTTAAAATGTATTAAATTTTGGTATAAGAATCTCCAAATTTGTTATCATAAGAATCTTCAATTTGTTACCATAAGAAACCCATGAAAATCTCCTATGGCTTGGAGTTTATCAATATTTAGTATAACATCCATTATTCACAGAATAATTTTTTGTTTGATTTACATCATGAATTTGAAGGGGAAAAAATTCGAAATTATTAGGATTTCTCAATTCAAAATCTCAATTTCTTGGCATAAGAATCTCAATTTGTTACCATAAGAATCCCATAGAAATCTCCTATGGGATTGGAGTTTATCAATAGTTGGTATAACATCCATTATTTTGGAATAATTTTTTGTTTGATTTACAACATTAATTTGAATAGGAAAAAAAAACCGTAATTATTGGAATATCTCAATTCAAAATTAGAATTTTTTGGCATAACAATCTTTAAATTTGTTACCAATAAAAGTAGATTCATATGGATTAATATTTAAAATTAATTAAATTTTGGTATAGGAATCTCCAAATTTGTTACCATAAAAATCTTCAATTCTTTTGGGATATCTCAATTAAATTTGTTACCATTAAAATCTCCAAATTTGTTACCATAAAAATCTCAATTTTTTTGGTACATGTGTTTTTTTCGAAATTTCCATTAATAGTAAGTCAAACTATTTATTTTTTTTTTAGTCAAACTTACTATAAAAGTATTTTTCCAACAACCTCTTTATATTACTATAGATGCGACACATATAATAAATTATATAACTTAAATTGATGACGAATATTGACTAATTAAAAAATATTATTTAATATTAATTGTAATTTTATATGCTCTTTATCTTGGGGTAATTTATTTAAGAAAAATTGAAAAATAAGTGGACAAAAAAAAAAAAAGAAAAAAAAGGGGTAGACCGAAATCAAAAGCACGTATTCACAAAATACGGTTTCTTAATTAAATTTTTTAGTAAAAAATGTATTCCGTGAATACGGTTTTTAATTGTATTTGTTTAATTATTTGAAAAACATATTGCCCAAAAAAATGTATAAATGTAAATCCAATTTGAATTTTAAACCGTATTTACGAAATACGTTTTATGAAAACCCTAATTTTGATTTGAAATGTAAACCGTATTTCATTAATACGGTTTTTAATATTAATTAATTTTTAAGAAAAAA